TCAGCAGTAACTCCCCTCTTCATTCAGTTTTGCAGTCTGCTGAAGAAGGCACAAGTATTTTGAAAATTCAAAACCAGTGCTTTATTATTCTTCCTATTTGGTCTCAGGTTGTGGATGAGAAACAGCCACATGCAGAAAGACCTAACAATGCAAGCCAAATCAGAAGCTAGGACACATCAATTGCTGCCTTTTCCAGACTACTATGACACCAGTCCAACAAAGCATTTACCTAAATACTAGGGCTGTGCAAAGCTTCGGTCAATGATTCAATTCAGCAGAGATTCAACCCAATTCGGCAGCCGAATCTCCAAATCCAAGCTGAATCAGGAGATGCTTTAATCTCTCTGAATCGAATTAGAACCCTCTGAATCGATTTGGAGAAATTCAGAAAGATTCAATGATTTGGACATAGACACAGCTTTAAATATTTTTTCTACATACCTCAAGGTACCAGGCAACTTGTGAATGCTGAGATGCTGGGGCAGATGGAGCATCCCACAGGCAGAGCACTTCCGGTCCACTTCTGGATCCTCCCAGGTTCCACAGCATGAGGTTTTATTCCAAAGGAATGAGTAGGGACTTTGGTTCTTGTGGCTGTACTACGATTTACTATATAGATTACTGCTTAGCGCTTTCATCCAAGAAGTGCAAAACCCTGGTTCAATGCTCTGCTCAGTCACATCTCTCATCACCAAGGAAACTTCCCTAGCCACCAGGATATAGTCTCTTTGGAGGAGTATTTGAGATAAGAAACAGAAACAATCCTGGAAGTTGGCATTTCTATCTCCCAGCTGAATTTCTTCAGTTCTCAGCCACAGATTCATGCTCCATCCTGTGTACTCGCCCTGATTTAATGAATCTTGAATGTTTTCAGGCAGTGTCACAGAAAAGGTGAAGAAATTCCCCCATCCAGCATAGTTTATAACCTAGGCACTCTTCATGGAGGTGAATGATGTGCATTTGAATATCCTAAGGTAGATGAAGAAATCGGAAAATACTCTAACCAGAAGACTATTATGTAAGGGCGGACTTGATCATTTTTTCTTCCTCTGTTTTACAAGTAAGCCCACTCAGTTTCTGAAAGAAAGTTTTTAAGTACCCACCTTCAGGAAACATTCAGGCTCCAGGTTCTTAACTACAAAAATCAGACTCCTACAGTCCTTCACAGGGTGTTTGAGATTTAGGACTTAGCCCAGGCCTCAACCTTTTTCTTACTGGCTAGCTCTAGCTCCTTACTGACTTTAGCTGGCTCCTGCTCAGTATGCTGATTGTTTTGGAACCACTTCCCTATGCACTATATAAGGAGGAACCAAAACAGGTTTCTAGATCCAGAAATTAGGCACTGAAACACCTAACTTAGGCACTAAAATCCTGTATTCGGCCCTAAATTTGTATAATTGAGCAAACTGAACACATGCAAAGTCTTAGATTCAAGCTGCCTCTCAACTACTTTCATTATATTCATTAGTACCATATAACAAAATGATTTGAGTAAAGGCATATTTCCCTTTGTGGTTTGCTGCACATTTATGATAAATGCTATATAGCACAAATGAATTCATCCTATCAACAGCCAGCGCCTGGTGTGGAGATATGGTTTCCCTGCTCCTTGGACTGTTTCTATATTTTATCCAATATACATTAAATGTCAAATATAAGAACAGTCCTAGGAGTAGGGACCTGAACACCGCTCTCCCCACCAAATGAGTGCATTAATTACTGGACGTTTAGGTTGTAGCCGTGTTGGTCTAAGGATATAGGCAGACAAGGTTCCTTGGGTGAATTTGATATCTTTTATTAGACCAACCCAAATGGTTGGAGAATAGTTATTAAGCAAGCTTTCGGGTTCAAAAACCCTTCGTCAGGCTCAGGAAGCTGCAGCAGTTGGTGTGTGCTCTTCCTGGATGGAATGAAAAGTAAACAAGCCAGGGGCTGGGCTGGGCTGGGGAGTCAGTTGCCAGGCAGATTATAATGTATCAAAAATCCAATGTCTATGTTTAGTCCCTGATCTCTAGTATCCAGCAGGTTGATGAAATGGAGCTCGTAGGCTCGTCTCTGGGATGTGTTGTGTAAATTTCCCTTGAGGATCAGGACTGAGAGATTGGAGAGAGAGTGGCCCTCCTGTGAGAAATGTGCCCCCACCGGTAATTGGGTGTTTCTGTCTTTGATGGATTTCCGGTGTGCGTTCATTCTGGTGCGCAGTTGTTGTCTGGTCTCTCCTACATATCTTCCATCAGGGCATTTGGTGCATTGGATGAGGTATACTACATTCCTGGAGGTGCAGCTGTAAGATCCTGGGATGCTGATGGCTCTGTTGTGGGGTGTAGTAATAGTGGGGGTGGTGGAGATGTGGGGGCAGGTTTTGCATTTCTTGTCATGGCACGGTCTGGATCCTTTTGGTGTGTTCTGGGCTTGAGGAAGTTTGCTTCTGGTGATGAGGTTGGCGAGGTTCGGTGCTTGTCTGAAGGCTAGGATGGGTGGCTCTGGGAAGATCTTTTTAAGAATAGGGTCTTTTTCTAATATGGGTTGCAATTTTTTGAGGATTTTCTGTACAGGTTCAAGGGATGGGTGATAGGTCATAACTAGCGGTGTGCGATTTGTGGGTGTTTTTCTTCTGTACTGCAGCAGTTCTTCACGTGGTATCCAGGTGGCTCTTTCAAACGTGCGATCTACCTCTCTGGAGGAGTGTCCTTGCTGGGTGAAAGCCTTTTTAAGATTGGTGAGGTGGCAATCCCGGGTGTTCTCTTCAGTACAGATGTGGTGGTATCTGAGGGCTTGGCTGTATATCACTGCTTTTTTGGTGTGTTTCGGGTGATTGCTGGTTCTGTGCAGATATGTATGTTGGCCTGTGGGTTTCTTGTATACTGTGGTTTGTATTTTACCCTTCTGGAT